GCTGCAGCCACTCACCAACCCCGAGCCTGCAGTGGCCACTGGCACAGGGCCACCGCCGCGGTAAGACCTCTCCAAGGACCCTCCCTGGGACTCTCTGTTGATGGTGGCTCTGGCTGAGCATCATCCCGTGGGTGCCACCCTCAGCTGCTGTGGATGGATGCAACCTTGCAGGTCCCCCAGTTTGGTGGGGACAGATGTCTTAGAAAAGTGGACAGTGGCGATGAGACAATCAGCCTTATAAAAGGCTGGTGGCATTTTCCCAGCCCAGGGAGGGGACAGGGGAAGGGCTCTGCATGAGGGTGCACTGGCACATCCATACCACCATGCCCATGAGAGGACAAGGGACACCCAGCCAAGCTGGGCTTGTGGCCAGGATGGACCAAGGATGAGCATCTGCTCCCTGGGAAGTGGTTTGGGGACATCCTAGAGTGACAACCACAGCCGGGCTGGGGCAGGGTCCTCATCCAGGTGCCCAGGATGGGGACAGAGGTGGGTGCTAGTGCTGCACCAGTCCCTCCAGCTCCTCTTTCACCTGGCTGTAACCCAACTCCTGTCCCCATAAATGTTGCATGGTGACGGTCGGGTTGCCAGTCTGATGGCAGGCTGGAAGCCAAAAAAAAAAAAGACTAAAAATGGTTTTAAATAGCTAAAAATGGAAAATGGGAATTTTTTTCCCCCGGTGCTGTGCAGGCATGATGACCTCAAGGAGATGCTCGATAGCAACAAGGATTCACTCAAGCTGGAGGCCATGAAGAGGATCGTGGCGGTGGGTGTTTTCACCACCGGCAGTGCCGGTGCCGAGGCATGCCGTGCTGAGCCGTGCTGTGCTGTGCCGTGCTGTGCCATGCCATGCCAGCTGCCTGGTGTCATGCTGCTTCTTTACCCCCTAGATGATCGCCCGGGGTAAAAATGCCTCTGACCTCTTCCCTGCCGTGGTGAAAAACGTTGCCTGCAAGAACATCGAGGTGAGGAAGGTCTTGGGTGGCCCTGGTGGCATCCATGGGTGTCCCCAGAGTCTGGCACCTCCCCTGCAGGAGGTTTTTGGGAATGGGCTGGGGTTTGGGAGCTCTGAGGTGGCCCCACCACCTTCACCCCTCAGGTGAAGAAGCTGGTATACGTCTACCTGGTGCGCTACGCAGAGGAGCAGCAGGATCTGGCCCTGCTCTCCATCTCCACCTTCCAGCGAGGACTCAAGGTGGGCTGGTTTGGGGACCTAGGTGCGGAGGTCTGGGGGGCAGCAAGCCCCCCACGGCTGCACTGCAGCCCCGTGCGTGTCCCCACAGGACCCCAACCAGCTGATCCGAGCCAGCGCCCTGCGGGTCCTCTCCAGCATCCGCGTACCCATCATCGTGCCCATCATGATGTTGGCCATCAAGGAGGCTGCCTCAGACATGTCCCCATACGTGCGCAAGACAGCTGCCCACGCCATCCCCAAGCTGTACAGGTAACATTTTGGGGGTACCAATAAGGCTCCAGTGCTGAAGTCTCAGCTGCTCGGTGCAGTCAGGGACAGGCAGGGCTGTGGGGGCAGTTTGGTCCAGCTGCACCTGCCCTCCTATTCCCTCACAGCCTCGACTCGGACCAGAAGGACCAGCTCATTGAAGTGATCGAGAAGCTTCTGGCGGACAAGACCACGGTGAGCATGGTGCCATGTCTCCACTGCTCTTAAATCTGGGGATGTAACCATCCCCGGCTGACCCAGCGTCCTTATGGGGATGCAGATGTCTCCACCGAACTGATGTCCTCGTGGGGATGCAGCCATCCATGCAGAGCGGGCATCCTTGCAGTGATGCTGCTGTCCCCACCGAGCCAGCGTCCTCATGGGGATGCTACCATCCCCACTGATATGGCACACCCATGGTGATGCAGCCATCCCTGCAGGGCTGACATACTCGTGGGGATGTCACTGTCTCCACCAAGCCAGCATCTTCACAAGGAAGCCATCATCCCCACCAAATTGGCATCTTCATGGGGATGCCACCATCCCCATCAAGGCAGCATCATGATGAAGATGCCACCACCCTGGTGAGTCACCCCAGGCTTTCCCTCCGCAGCTGGTGGCCGGCAGCGTGGTGATGGCATTCGAGGAGGTCTGCCCAGAGCGCATCGACCTCATCCACAAGAACTACCGCAAGCTCTGCAACCTGCTCATTGACGTGGAGGAGTGGGGGCAGGTGGTCATCATCAACATGCTGACCCGCTACGCACGCACCCAGTTCCTCAGCCCCAACCAGAACGTGAGTGGGGGAGCCTCAGGGTGCCCTGGGAACCCCCGGGGAGGTGGGGTGAAGGGAGGTGCTGTTGGTAGGGTGCAAGGCGTCGCACCTACCGGCAGGAGTCCTTGCTGGAGGAGAGCGCCGAGAAGGCTTTCTATGGCTCTGAGGAGGAGGACACCAAGGATGCTAAAGCAGAAGCAGCCTCTTTGGCCAAGCGCAAGCCCTACGTCATGGACCCCGACCACCGTCTGCTCCTGCGCAACACCAAACCCCTGCTGCAGAGCCGCAATGCCGCGGTGAGCCCCCCACTTCAGCCCTCTTCGTCCACTGAGGCCACCAGTGGTGTCTGGGCTCGTGCTGTGTACACCCACCGAGGAGCCAGCAGGGGCCTGAGGGACACCCAGGGATGGGGACACTCTGAGGATGGACGTCCTCAGGGTCAGGCTTCCTCTAGGTGCTGCCTGGTGGGACACTGGGGGACACAACCATCCCTCGGGGTGTCCCTGTGCCAACTGGGTGACACTCAGGTGTGTCCCTGCAGGTGGTGATGGCTGTGGCACAGCTCTACTTCCACCTGGCACCCAAGGCGGAGGTTGGCGTCATCGCCAAGGCGTTGGTGCGGCTTCTGCGGAGTCACAGGTCTGCGGCACCTGGGTTGTGGTGGTCCCCTACCCTGCCACCCCAGTTGGTGTGACCCATGGGGAGCCCCAAGCCCCTGGGAGAGACGCCCCAAAAGCCCATCCCTGCAGGGATGACAGGTTGGGGTGAATTGCCAAAAAAGAGTGCTTTTTGGCCCAGCCCAGTCCAGACATTGGGCAGCAGCATCATGGTGGCACCAGCCTGGTGGTGGATCCTTCCCCATCTTCACAGGGACTTGCTGTGGGGGTCTGGCCCTGACCCACTAATGGTGGTCCCTTTTGTTCTCATAGTGAGGTGCAGTACGTTGTGCTCCAGAACGTGGCCACCATGTCTATCAAACGGCGGGTGAGTCTCGGACTTGGTGTGGGAGGAGTTGGCCCTGTTGACTCTGGAGCAGAATGAGGGCTAGCCAGCAGGGTCACCAGACCCAGCTACCTGTGGGTGGCCTTGGCAAGGGGAGGACAGAGATGGCATTAACACCACTGGCTCTGCACACAGGGGATGTTTGAGCCCTACCTGAAGAGTTTCTACATCCGCTCCACAGACCCCACTCAGATCAAGATCCTCAAGGTGAGCTGGAAGCACCCAGCAGAACCCATCGCTCATCGCTTTGGGGCTTCATGGAGCCCTTCCCTAGGGAGCATCTGTCCTCCATGCCCTGGGAACAGGAGAACAGCAAGGACCCCATGCCCCATGTTGCTCATCTCTTCCTCTTTCCCACAGCTGGAGGTCCTCACCAACCTAGCCAATGAGACCAACATCTCCACCATCCTGCGGGAGTTCCAGGTATGCCATGGCCATATTGAGGCCACCGGGGTGCCACCCTGCCATGGCTCTGGGTGCCAAAACAGCACTGTGGAGGAGAGCCCCACCAGGAGCAGTGGGCTCAGGCCATGCCAACCTCATGGGTGGCTCCAAAGAGGCCCAACATGTGACCATCACACAGGGGGGATGCCTGGCACTGGCATGTGACATGTCATGTGTCCCTCCCCATGCCTGCACAGACCTACATCCGCAGCATGGACAAGGACTTTGTGGCGGCCACCATCCAAGCCATCGGGCGCTGCGCCACCAACATCGGGAAGGTGCGGGACACCTGCCTCAATGGCCTGGTCCAGCTCCTCTCCAACCGGGACGGTGAGTGCACATGGTGGGGGTGAAACAGGGGCTCCATTGCTTTCAAGGCAGGACCCCGCTGAGGACAGGTCTCTGCCCGCAGAGCTGGTGGTGGCCGAATCTGTGGTGGTCATCAAAAAGCTGCTGCAGATGCAGCCGGCTCAGCACAGCGAGATCATCAAGCACATGGCCAAGCTCACCGACAACATCCAGGTGGGTTGAGGCATTGCATGGACCACAGGACCTGGGGAGTGGCAGTGGTGCCACGTGCCCGGGGGCATTTTGCAGGTGCCGATGGCGCGGGCCAGCATCTTGTGGCTCATCGGCGAGTACTGCGAGCACGTGCCCAAGATCGCACCCGACGTGCTGCGTAAGATGGCCAAGTCCTTCACCAACGAGGAGGACATCGTCAAGTTGCAGGTCATCAACCTGGCAGCTAAGCTCTACCTGACCAACTCCAAACAGGTACCAGGGATGTGGCCCAATGGCGTGCCTCAGTTTCCCCACCAGGGAGAGGCTGGCCCTGAGCATGTCCTCTGGCGCAGAGCAAGCTGCTGACCCAGTACGTCCTCAACTTGGCCAAGTATGACCAGAATTATGACATCCGCGACCGGGCTCGCTTTATCCGCCAGCTCATTGTGCCCACCGAGAAAAGCGGGGCCCTCAACAAGTATGCCAAGAAGCTCTTCCTAGCCCAAAAGCCTGCTCCCATCTTGGAGTCCTCTTTCAAAGGTACCCACCCCTGGTCACAGGGCACGGGGACACGGGGCCAGCTGTCACCACGGTGCTACACAGCTGTCCCTGATCTGCTTCCACCTCTCACCCTGCTGTAGATCGGGACCATTTCCAGCTGGGCTCCCTGTCCCACCTGCTCAATGCCAAGGCTGTGGGTTACCAGGAGCTGCCCGACTGGCCAGATGAGGCCCCCGACCCCTCTGTGAGGAACGTGGAGGTACGTGGAGCACCCCAGGGTGCTGAGGTGCATGGCAGGGCCAAGGTGGGAGCATTGTCTTGAGATCTTGGGAGAACCCCAGAAGGTGCCGAGGTGCTGCTCAGCTGCCCCATGTCCCCCCTCTGGTGCCCACACACCCGCTTGAGGACAGGAGGGGGGCAAGGGCTGCTGTTTGGGACCCCCACCCATGGGCGATGGCCCTGCTCCATGAACCCTGTGCCGGCAGGTTCCTGAGTGGACCAAGTGCACCAGCCGAGAGAAGAGGAAGGAGAAGGTGGAGAAACCTTTCTACTCCGACTCGGAGGGCGAGTCAGGGCCCACAGAGTCGGCAGACAGCGGTGAGGACCGGGTGGCACGGCAAGGCATGGGGTGGGGGCCGCTGTGGTAGGTGGGGCATCGGGCAGGGGTCACTGCGGCAGAGACATCAGGCAGGTGCTGCCATGGTGGGGCATGGGGCACGAGCTACCATGATGGGGCATCAGGCAAGGAACACCTTGGTGGGGCACGAGGCAGTGGCCACCACAGTGGGACACTGGGCAAGGGACACTGCAGTGGGGACATCCCATCATGATGGGGATGTGGCAGGGGGATGCAGGGACATGGTGGGGGGAAGCAGGGATGTGGG